GGGGGTGGGGGAGCTTCTATTCCATTCTAACCAAGGCAGGGATTTTTCCTCCAGCAGTCCTGGCAAATGGCCAGTCCGTTTCAGTTACTCCAGTGGGGGAATTTTCAAAAGAAGGTACCCCAAAAATATGAAAGGTTTGAATCAACCATTCAGACAGCGAGAAAGGTTCTATTCAGCTTAAAGGATACAGTCAGCATTGCCCAACACTAAAACCAAACTTTCAAAAGAACGTGATTAGGAATTAGCGAGGATAGGGGTTAAACATTTAAGAGATATAGGCCCCCCAATTCCCGCTGCATCCTTAGCTCCTTGCCATTGGCTTGAAGAGAGTAGCTCCTACAATTGGGAAAGCAAGGCGGCTTTCCCCGTCTCATTTCTTAAAGTAAAAAAAAAAAAAAAACGACTCTTTCAGGCTCGCAGCAAGGGTTTGTTAAACTAAGAAAGCATCAAATCCCTTCTTTGCGAAAACCAAGCCAAGGAACCCCCTGCTGGAACTGCTAATGCTAAAACATTCTAACTTTGGTCTTAACAATCCCCGCAACAATAAATCACAACATTTTGGGCTTTCCTTTGAAAGGCTTATATAGGTCCCCCTGTAACTGAAGTTGGTTGGGGCAGGGTTGGTGTGTAGGGGTTGATGTTTAAAGCGCAGCGCTTCAGCCCGCCGGTGAAGTCTGGCTTGAAACTACTCCCAAGCAAGGAGAGCGCGCCGGGCTGAGCAGCCCGCACGTCTCCAGCCCGACCCCGGGACGGGGCGGCCCGGCCCTTACCTGTCGATGCTGATCACGCACAGAGTCATGATCGAGGCAGTGCAGCACATGACGTCCATGGCGATGAAGACATTGCAGAAGAAGTGGCCGAAGATCCACTTTCCCCCTATGAGGTCGGTTACACTAACGAACGGCATGACGGCCACGGCCACCGAGAGGTCGGCCAGAGCCAGGGACACGATCAGGTAGTTGGAGGGTTGGCGGAGCTTCTTGACGAAGCATACCGAGATCACCACCAGGCAGTTGCCGGCGATGGTCAGCAGTGTGATCAGTGTCAGGATGGAACCGATCACAACTTTCTCGGCTCTGCCGTAGTTGATCTGCTCACCGCAGCCCGAGGCATTGTCCGCGAGAGCGTCCCAGGTGGACGTCGGGCTGGGTGTTACTTCTTCGGAGGTCCCGCGCATCAGGTGCGGTGACCAGGAGCTCGAGGACGGTTCGGTACCGCCGTCGGGGACTAGGTCGGGCATCCCTTGTCCCGACTCAGTCAGGAGTAAAGACTGAAAGTGCCCGAAGAGGTCCGGGGGACCGCTGCTGTTAACTTCCATTTTCGCACGGTTAAGAGCTGCTGCCCATGGAGCCAGCGCCCCTGCCTAGCGCGCTCTGACTGTCGTCCCGGGGGCTTCACCTCGCCTGTTTTGCTCCGCGCGGCCAAGCCAGGGGGCGCGCGCTCGTCGGTGGGGGGCGCCCCTGCTCGGCCTCGGGGCCCCGCACGTCCCGCGCCCCCAGCCCCTGCGGACACCACGGGAGCGCGGCCGCGCGGGAACTCCCAGTGAGAGGCGCTTCTAGAAGGAACCCGACGGGCGCTCGGGACGCGCGAGCTCGCGGGCTCGCGAGCGCGCTGGCCGGGCTCGACTAGCCGCACCGCAGCCCGCAGCCCGCAGCAACCGCCTGGCTCGGCCGGGAGCGCTCGGGAGGTGGCGGGAGAAGTTGTGGAGAGCGCCCCGCCCCTCGCGCCCGCCACCGCCGCTCCCCTGCGGCAACCGCGCCGCGTCCCCGCGGCCACTGCCTGCGCCCCTCGCGCTCCCGGGACGGACTTCTCGGGCAGGGCAGGGACAGCCACCCTCCCTCCTCTCCCAAGTCTCCCCACCGTGGGTGGGGTAGTTAGCTTTGCCTGAGCCCCTTCACTAGAGGACCTCTCCTTGCGGCAGCAGACTTAGACCCCTCCAACAGACTCGAACCTTGTCACAGTAGTACACGACAATTTGGTGGGGGCTGTTTCCTCTGGTTGGGAGGACTTGGGGAGTCAGCGGACGTTTGCACTCACTGCTAAATGAAGAACTGGGAGGGATGATTTTTTTTTCTCTTTTCTAATTAAAGAATCCTACTCGATTACTACACCAAGCAACAAATAGATACTTCCGTTTCCTACTTTGACCACTTAAGGGAGAAAGCGAGGAAGGAAAAGGAGACGCAGCGAGTGGGGTGGGGGTGGGAGCTCAGAAGAAGAAAAATGAAGGGAAAGCTAGGAAAAGTGCGGAATGTCCTAAATTCCTGGCAAAATGGAGGGTCTGCGGCACTGGGGAGGGGGCCTCCAAGAGGGTTAAACCAATCTGACTAGCCTTCCAGGCAGCTAGACCCTGGCTGCCTTTATAATCAGACTTCAAAGCTTAATATTGAAAAGAGGGTTAATTTTCCCATGCCATTCTAGAAATTTTACACATAAACGAAGAAATGGGCCCGTTGTAGCGTTCTGCAGAAGAATCCTGCAGGTGTCTGTTGACGTAATACCTACTGCATGAAATCCCCTTAGTATTCAAAACCTGTTAGTGGCTGGTTTTTGTTATTTTTGAGACTTCATTCCATTTTGTTTAAAGGTTTTATTGGAAGCCAGAATGATTTTTTTTTTTTTTTTTTTTAGTTTAAAGACTGAAAATTAATCAAATTTGTTTGCTTTTCTATTTAGGCCCCATTGGATTATAAAACAAGAAAAATACAGAAATCTCAAAATGTGTTGTTATGAGGGCTGAATAAATACCCTCATTTGTCAAGGGAGGGGTGCAACTAAGCCCTTGTTTTCCAGATACAGAAACCCAGTTATTACTGCAATCAGCTGGTTAAGTAATCGTTAAAATTCAAACCCAGGTTTCTCTGATTGCTAGGCCTGTATTCTTCTTTCTACAAACTCAAAAACATTTTTTGAGTGGGGAAAAAAAAATCTTCAATTATGAGCCATTGTTCACAGCTCTTTGGCAATTATCAACATTTCAGTCCCCACTCTGGGTGGGATAAGCAAATCAATCCATTGTGTCAGAAGAGTAGAAGATAGTATCTAGCCTACAAAGCAATGACAGTTGAAAGTGGAAATTTCCTCAACCTTACTCATCTTGTGGTTGTTAAATGCTGTGGAGTCAGTTCCAACTCATAAGGACTGGTGGTGCTGTGGGCTAATGCACTGGACTGCAAAGTAGCTGTGAACTGCAAGGCCGGTGGTTCAAGCTCACGAGCTGCTACTTGGAAACCCTATGCAGGGTTGCTATGGGTCAGAACTGACTCGATGGCACTTAACAATAACCTGTTTCTGAAGCTGGTGAACTTGAACCGCCGACCTTGCAGTTCAAAGCGACCTTGCAGTCTGGTGCAATAGCCCACAGTGCCACACCAGGACTCATCAAACACAAGAGTAGTAGTTTGTAGCAGGAAGGCATCTAAGAAATTATTTCACCCTTCAAGACAGAGGACTAAGAGCTGGGGAAGGTTTAACAAGTTGTTCAAGAGCATACATGACTATTATATTGAAAGTCTCATTTTCTGGTTTTGAACATTTGAATTGTCTTAAAGGCGTCTTTAAAAATTCTTTATGATAGTATGCTTCACAAGATTCATTTGATCTTTCCCTTTTTATTTATTTTTCTTTTAATACCCTAGTCAGTGCAACTTGCAATTCTATCTGGTCTCTTTTAAATAGTTGTTGTTGTTAAGTGCTGTCGAGTCGGTTCTGACCCATAGACCCTGTACAGGGTTCCCAAGGCTGTAAATCTTTACGAGAGCAGAAAGTCTCATCTTTCTTCCGGAGTGGCTGGTAATTTCGAACTGCTAATCGTGAGGTTTGCAGCCCAATTCGTAACCACTATGCTACCAGAGCTCCTTCTTTTAAATAGCATTCCACATAAATTAATTACACACGACTTTGAAAAGTAATAGTTACAGTTTTAGTTGAACTGACAGTCAATATAATTTACCACCTACACTCTTTACCAACCCATTTATATTTCATAACAGCTTCTGATTTTTTTTTCAGTTGTGCACGTATAAGTGTGCTGAATAATCATGAGGATATTATTTTCAAAATAAGTTCCTCTTCCGTTTTGAATATAGCATCAGGTCCAAACTCTTCTCTTTTACAGAGAGCAGCCATGTCTATTATATTACCCCTGGTGATGGTTCAGGGTATTTCCTAAGAAAGTGCTAGGTTTTTAATTTATAAACTGTCACAATATACAACAATGGTTATCGAAGTCTCGGCTTCTGCAGCATTAGCTTGCTTATGATGAGTTTAAATTTAATCTACGATTGTATGTTGCCAAAACAATCTGGAATTCTTTCCGTTTCCCTCTAATCTTGACTAACAAATAATTGTATCTTCATAAAACTGCTAAAATCTCATGTGTTCTTTTCCCTCATTTTCTCACAAAGAAAACCTGAAGATACAGCTTTAAAAATCATTCGTACACATAAATATTTATCTGCATTTATCATCTGTTTTGCTCTTGGTTCCGTAATGTTTTAAAACCCTTATCAAGGTGCCCTTTCCTCCCCTGCCTGCCCAATCTTGGGCAGTTATACTGGAGATAAAGGAAGTGTTGGCATCTAAAGCAAATCATGTTCTTTAGCTTTTATCCCTCTGATTTCTTGCATTAAAAAAAATAATATTGGTTTTAAAAAGACGAATTTTTATCTAGATTTTCATTACTTATAACAACATTCTGATTGAGGTCACCTGAGAATGTAGCTTTCTGATGTTCCAACTGGAAGTTTCCTGCTTTTAAAACTACTCTGGAGGAATTCACAAGAGCAGCCAAGTCCTACAACATGAATTGCATCTTTGTAAAAGTCCTTCTTCCCTCATCTACATTCATATATTTAATAATATCCGTGCAAACACATATATACCCATTGTCTTAATTATCCAGTGCTGTTATAAAAGAATATCACAAGTGTTTGGCTTTAACAAACAGAAATTCCTTTTCTCACAGATTAGGAGACTAGAAGTCCAAATGTAGGGTACTGGAGGTAGGGGAAGACCTTCTCTCTCTGTGTTGGGTCTGCAGGAAGATCCTTGTCTCTTTGAGCTTGTGTTCCTGAGTAGTCTTCGTGTAGCTTGGCATCGCTCTTCCCCCATTTCAAGGAGAGTCTCAGTGCCAGAAGCCAGAGACCAAAGAACACACTCTGTTCCTGGCCCTTTTTTTCTCAGCTCTCTTCTCTCTCGCTTTAGCTGTTACCGGATAAAAGTTGATCTAGCCACACCTCAAAGGAACGCCCCTTATATATCAATATCAGAATAGGACTTGGACCTGAGTAAAGATGATGATTTATGATGATTTGTGAAGCATCCCACCCTAAAATAAAACATATTACAGAACAGACGATAGTACCGCAATCATGGCCTAGCCATGCTGACACATATTATGGGAGGGCGGGGACGCAATTTGATCTATGACATTCCACCTGTGACCCAGCCAAATTATGTCCTTCCCACTTGTAAAACATTTTCACCCCATCATAGCATCACAAAAGTCTTTCATCAAGCCTAAATCCGAATTCCATTCTGAAGCAAAATCCCTTTTAATCTGCGGATGTCAAATTCAAATCGTTCCATGGTGGAACTCCTCTTACATCAGATTAGGTTGTGACTTGAGTAAGGGTGGTCACTTAAGCATCACTATTGCAAATGGGAGAAACTGCAAGGAAAGAAAGAAAAACAGGTCCTAAGCCAAAGCCTAGTACAACAATTTACGTTAGCTCTCAAATCTTGAAACGGACCCTCTGTATTCTGAGACCATCTGGTCACCGGCCCTGTCCTCCATAGTGTATGTGTTGGCCATGGTTTCTGGATTATGAGCGGAGACATCTCGGCCTTGGGCTTCAGTTCCGCCTTCCAGATCCAGTGAGATGGTAGCTCTGTCCCCTCAACTTTGAGCAGCCCGATTCTCCTAGTCCAATTGAGTGACGACCCTCTCCAATCTGTTTCCTGAAGGCCCTGTTCTTCTTCTTTTTGGAAGCAGCCCCACCCCTTTGGTTATGACAGCTGACCAAGTCTCTCAATCATCAACAGCAGCCCCACACTCTGGAACCAAGGTGGTGACGATCTGACTCTTCAAAACCTAGCCCCATTCATTGAGATCCAGCAGGCTGTGGTTCTACCCTTTCAGATACCAGAGGTCATGACTGGACTGTTTGAGACCAAAGCAGTTCTGCTTCCTGTATTCCTTGTTTCTTCACCTTCTGCTTCCTAGTTCCTTGGTTTTGTGGCCCCTTGGATAGGCTTGCTTTCTGCTCTGCTTGGGCAAGTGTTACAGAGCTCTTTAGTTGTGCTGATAAGTGCCCA